AAGTTAGGCCGATGGTCGTTACGCCTTCAGGCGTACGATTTCGACATCACCATAAAGGTAAAGATAACGTGGTGCCCGACGCGATCTCACGTATGTATGAGACAGACGAAGGACGTTATAGTTTCGCTAGCGTCCTTCACCATCGACAAGAATATTAAGGATCCGTGATACCAACGTTAGTTTTTGCAAATTGAACGGGATCCAATAGCACATCCTTCCTGGAAGACAGTCGGTGGTCGCCTATACCTTTACCGTTCCGATCCAATGGTCGACGACCTGATGGGAGACGACGACGCATGGAAACTCGTAATCCCATGAGAACAGCGAGATCAGGTTCTCATGTAGTACTATCAAGAGCCCACAGCCGGTAATTTAGGCCGATATAAAACCCACCAGAGGGTAGTGCTTCGTTATATTGATCCAGCATGCACAAAGATACCGCGCATTTCTTGCGTAACTGTCAAGTGTGCCAACAGATTGAAATAGAACAATGAGCCCCTGCTTGACTCATAGGAAAACATATCCTCTCTTACCCATGGGAAATCATCTGGACGATGGGACCTTTTCAGAGATCACTTCAAGGTAACGAACACTTACTTATCTTCATGGATATTTTCACGAGATGGATTGAGTGTATCCCGATCCATAAAGCCAATGCCAAAACGATTAAAAATTCAATTATCGGATCTTTCTACGTTTCTGAATTCCTATGTTTTCTATGGTTTCTATCAGATAATGGTACGCCATTCGCAACCTTGTTAGTTGACTTCTTCTTAACGGTCCATAGCGTTTTTCACGGCACTTGTGCTCCTTATTCTCCCAAGTCAAACTCAACTGAGCATATAACCGCACGATCAAGATTATAATTGCTGCATTCATCGCTGAAAAACACAATAAGTGGGATGAGCACATCGGTGAATTTGCTTTCGCCTACAACACTGCCGTCCACGAGACCACTCGCTCAAGTCCAGCCTTTTTAAATTACGGGCGGAATCCAGAATCGTCATATAACGTACGACGCAAGGAAGTGTGCGGCTATACAGCAGCTAAAAATACTGCCCGTGAGGAATGGCACTTTCGCATGCAAAAGCTGAATAAATGATGAGCTGATGCCCTTGAGAGGAGTGAAACTGCTTAGTTGCGACAAGAGAAGTATTATAACCAGAAACATCGAGATATTAGTTACGACATTGGCGATAAAATTTGGGTAAAGAATCGAGTACACTCTTATGCCGTCAAGGCCATAGAGGCAAGCTTGACCCTAAATACGCTGGCCCATTTATAGTAATATCTCGCCTCAGCATGAATTCTTATCAGTCTCAGAATGAAAATGGAGTCGTCATAGAAAAGGTAGCCGTCTGCGACTTGAAACCCTGCTACGATACCGAGCAATTTCTTTCGAGTGAGACACTTGACGATGGTAATATTTCAGATAGCAAGAATACGAAGCTTTCTCTCTCGATGAAAGCACTCAAGCGGACCATCTACCTACGATATATGAATCCCTAGTAGCAGTTACTCCCGCGCCTGCGGAAGCTGATATGGAAACTCAGCCGAGTTTAAGCCCAACTCCTCAGGTGTCGATGACAGTGGCCCCTCGAAAAAGAGGTCGGCCACGTGACTCTAAAAAAGTTACACCGACACCGGTAGCATCCTCACCTCAGCGGCTACACCCTAGAAGCAAGCTCGACGCTTAACCTCCTCCTATCATTTCGACCCCTGTCGATGTACACTACATAACACCATTATAACAATACGTCTTCGTTGAACACTGCAAAATAATTTATTATCTCTTTGCTTTACTGCTACTTGCACTTGACCGATTTCACTTCCTCTCCTCAAGTTACCTTTACTCGATCTGAAGGATTCTCTGCAGAAAATATTACCCGTGAAGAAGGAAGGCAAAGATCCTGATGCAGTCTAGGTGAAGATCCCGGGAAACCTTCTCCTGCAGTTCCAGGATCTTGCGGTGCAGATGACCGATGCCAACGCGAGCCTGAATCTCCCGCTGGAAATCACATCTCAGCTGCCGACCATCGAATATCTCCTCCTGCGCTCGGCCAAAAATTATGCAGTCAAATGTATGGAGGATGACAAGCGGCTATAAAGCGCCCTTCTAGCCCTCCCGGCTCCTATAGGTCAGGGCGAAAGGCAATGGTAATGCCCTGATCCTCGCCGACCGCCTCTGCGCTTGTCCCTAGTTGAGGATGAAGAGCCAACGCCGATCTAAACTAACGAGGAGGGATGGGCCGAAGTGGAGGCGACGGCACGATCTTGCCGCTTCACACGCATAAAAGCGCAAAAGGAACGCTGCACTTACGCATCTGTGCTGGTCTTTTCAAAACATTCTGACGCCTGCATTAGGGCAGCTGCTTCCGTTGGTTTCGTGCAGATGGTCCGGCATGAAGTGGAGCGATAGACCTTTCTGGTCCAGGCGGCAGATCGCTGAGATTAGGCGAAGGCCATCCAGAAGGAGCGGGAGAACCTTCTGGTCTAGTAGGAACAGAAGCGGCAGGAGAATTAAACCTCTAACGCCAGCTGGCCGACAGCAACGTCCAGTATGCCTGGGCCTCGGTAGCGTCGGCGTACGCCGCAATCCCGGGCTCCTCATTAGGTCCGAAAAAACCCGTGCCTACTGATACTGGAAGAGTGACGTGATATAACCACGGCAACGAGGGCTTGGGGAAAACATGATAGCCCTGCTCCGGAGAAAAAGAACATACGGTTCCGTTACGTCTGCAACCTGACTGCAGTCTCCAGAACCGAGAACTGCCGCAACTTTTTCCAGCATTAGAAGTTCGAACAGGGGCAGGAACCGCGTTACGATTACGACGACGAGTTCGGTGTGTGCCATCACCACTGAGCCGTCGACGTAGTTATCTCTCTTTTCATTCTTGCGTTAAGGCCAACGCTTCTCGAAGAGGAAAGAAGAGGGAAGAGCGAAGACGATCCGGAGGAGGATTCAAGTTTTTTTTTGTCTTTTTGCCTCCCGCCTTCTGGCCCATGTAACTTTCTTTGGTGAGGCTGCATTCCGTGCCGTTTATACCTCTTTTTTTTATCGTGGCATTGACGCCCTTTGTTTTATACCAGATTTTTCTATTGGCACGGCTACGTAAACGTAGAGTTGTAGAGAGAGTGGCTATAGAACAGCTTCATTTATAATAAATTATTTATTTCTTTATATTTCACGTAGTTTTCTTTACAAGAGAGACCTAAAGTTCGAGATGATACCGCCTCTGTAACCAACGTCTGGGAGTGGGAGATATGACGAGCTTTTTGTCGACTCGTCATGTCTCTCTTTTCCCTCTTATGATCATGTAAATTTATATGCATTGCTTATTTTGTAAATGTTATACATTTATTTCCTAGCAGCAGCAGACGACGACAGCTGAGAGTCTAACGTAAGAGAGAGAGAGAGAGAGAGAGAGAGAGAGAGAGAGAGAGCCGGCAGAGAGAATAAAGTGCGTGTACATGTGTTGACGTGATGTAAATGACGCTCCGCGTGCCGCGTGAGAAAGGGCTAGCAATTAGCCGACTGATCGCGAGCCGATAGGACGCCTAGCTAGCCTCTAGGCGATTAACGAGTTTCCTGCGTGCACTTCTGGCTGATTTCACCGCGTGACTTCCCGAGTGACTTTCTTCGTGTGTGGAGTATTGTGTCGTGCATATAATGGTGCAAGGGTATATGTCACTGCAAATTTTCAGAGGTTATTGCTGACAACGTGATCGCAAGATTGCTCGGCGACCGGTAGGCTACGAGGGCTACACCATATATAAGTACCAACCGTTCTTTACGTGTCTCTTTCTGCCTAGCTTGCTTTTCTCTCTACGCAGCTCTGTACGCTTGTACAGTATACATATATACAAAAAACACTTGCACACGCACCGGTTTTATCCGTTTTCTTTTGTGTATCCTTTCTTTCTACTCGTTTTCCACAGCTTTCGCGATTGCAGCTGCGCGACTTACGTCGCTTTCTGCGGACCATTGCCAACCGGTAAATATATCGGCATTCTGGACTATCGGGCCGGGTCTCGTAAGACCTTCGCACGAGCCCACGATGAGCTGTAATTGAGCTCACCATCCTTCTCGGTTATTCTATATTATTATTGAATATTGTGGCGGTTTGAAACCCCGTTACACAGTAAATATGATAACTATCGCGAATAAAACTTCGTTTTGATTCTATCATATCTGGCGGAAATAAAATTAATAAGCGGCCGCCCATCACTGCGAAAGAGAGATTAACCGGGAAAGAGAGATAATCTGACCTTTGTTTTCTCCTCGATGATCCCTGGAATGAGAAGGCACAGGGCAAGCCAACTGTCCGGCTTCGCGTCGTTGTTGCTGCTGCAGGTGGTGCACGTTATGACGGAAGACCAGGGCTTGGGGCCGTTCAGGATGGATGACAGATAACCTCTTCTTCGCAGGGAACAATGGCAGATGATGGCAACGCGAGCTAATTCCTAGGTCAACTGACCTCGATTGATAGCTAACGTAGAGTGAATAACGCTACGCAATACTCCTGTGCGGGCAGTGACCACTTTTTCGCGCAAGCTATCCCTACTTAGCCCATTTTTAGGCGGCGTACGACGAAGCACTAATTTATCGCGCGTCGCCCGCCTACTTAATAACCGCTTAGTGTGCGCTCACATGAGCGCTCTTTCTTTTTTTTTCTCTTTCTCTTTTCTATCGTAGTTCTCTCTCTCTCTCTCTTTCTTCAACTGCAGCGTCTTCTTACGTTTTTCCTTCTGCAACGCTCTCTCTCTCGCTCTTCTTAGGCTATCTTAGCCGGGCCTCGTAATTTATGGTGGCTGAAAAAGAGGTACAGTATTAGGCGCATAGAGAAAGTGCGCCCAATACTGACCACTGAGCCTTGCCGATGGCAAAGGGGGGGAGCCAGAGGGATCGACGAGAAACCGGCAACTGCCTACTCTCGTCACAAAGAAATAAAAATACGCAGGATAAATCGTTATTTAATCATCAATTACAAAAATTATTCAGACTTATAAGTTTATTGTATTATTTTGAATTAAAATTATTCTTTTCGAAATTAACATGAATAATGTTTATCTATTGTATAGCGTTAACGTAGTAGCACGTCTGCTGGTATTTCTATAACTGCTGAATTTATCAAAAGAATACTTTTACAGGTAGTTTTTGATGACTGTCTGTAATAACATAATCCATTAATCCATATAATACACGTTTATTTGGTGATCTGTAAAAAAAAGAACAAAATAAAATGATAATTATAAATAATTAAAAAAGTATAAAGTTATGGTGTAAGAACAAATCGCAAAGTGACATTTTGATTTTATGAACAAAAGTTAAAACTACAGCAATAACAGTGGTAGTCATAATTTCCGTTTTTCAATCACGAAGGATAACGTTGTGGCGCGTATCAATCACAAGTGTCTGTAAGTGTAGCTATTTTTCGAGTGGATAGGAGGGACTCTAACTAAGCACAAGCTTCTTGGGCAGATCCCGAAAGGCCAGTGTGGGACTAAGACGACAGTAACAATATATTTATCAATTTGTAATCTTGTCAATGCAATGAAAGCAAAATCATTCCGTACGGGTGGTAGTTGAAGTAAATCACCAAAAACTACAATATGTATTTTACGAAACCACCCATCTTCTTTCCCTGATGTGTACAAAAAATCTCTGTCAGACGTAAATGGACATATATAAGGGTTATATTTTATATCATAGAAATCTCATCAATGATGATAAAATCAATATCCTTTAAGATTTTGTATACTCTTTTCAAGGCATTATTAAATAGAGGTTTATATTTTGTTGTACCTACAATATTTGTGTTGTCCTTGATTTACAGGTAATTATAATAATCTGTTTGTGACGAGGTCAAGCAGATTGCTTATCCTTCGTCTGCTGTTCCTCAATTTCCCCTGCTCTCGACAAGGCATAGTGGCCAGCATTGGGCGCATAGTGAAAATGGGCCTAACTAGTGACCTTTGTTTCAGTCACCGATGATCACCGAACGAGGTCGCAGCCAGTAGTCATTAAGTAGTTCTCTCGTGGGTTTCTTAACATAAGAAGGTAGAGCTAGTAGAGGCGTACAGATGTTTGGTGGAATAGTCAGCATAAGGACGACTGTATCCCTTCGTGCCTTTGCCTTACAGCGAAATTTATATCACCCGCCAAGCCGGGAATACAAGGGTCGGGTTATTTCTCTCTTTTTGTCATCTTCTCTCTCTCTTTCTCTCTCTATCTCTCTCTCTCACTCTCTCTCGGCTTTACCGGTTAGACTAACAAGGAAAGGTACCCAACCCGAACTCACCGATTTTGATGATATTGATACATATTGTAGAACATAAGAAATTAAGAGACACGTATTTTTTTTATAGGCTAATTTTCACTTTTAAGGAGTAAAAACCTCTCCTTAAGTTAACCCCCAAAAAGCGTTTTTTTTTAATATCTCAGCTTAAAATTAATATTTTTCAGTGAAACAAATTGAAGGTTATTTTTTACAAAAGGAGCAAGTATTTCATGGTTATTTGAAGAGTAAGGGTAGTATCCCCTATTTTTTAGGGGTTGAAAGCATATATTTTTGGCATAATTTTATAATAAAAAAGTTTAAACTGACTAAAAAAAATTGGAAAAAATGTTTAAACATCCATATTAACAAAATTTAGTTGACGTCTTTCGGTGTTTTAATAAATATTACCCCTAAGGGGAGTAAACCACCCCTAACAAAAAATAACTAAATATGGCATTCAATACATAATATTTCGCAGAAACTTTGTATATAGAGATTTTCGAGGTCGCTGATTACAAATCTGTTATCAGATTTTGAAAATTTAAAATGCGGAACCAATATGGCGGACGGAAATATCGAAAAAAAAATTTTATATAATAAAAAAGTTTTAAACGACTACAAAAATTGGAAAAAAAATTTGTAAACATCTATAATAAATAAATTAAGTTTTTCGGTTTTTTTATAGATACTAACCCTAAAGGGACGGAGGGTAAACCACCCCTAACACAAAATAACTATAAGTATACTTCAATCCATAATATTTTGTAGAAGGTTTGAATATAGGGGTTATCGAGATCGCTTTTTACAAATCTGATATCAGATTTTGAAAATTCAAAATGATGGAACCAATGTGGTGGACGAAAATGTCGAAAAAAAATTTTAACTTTCATAAAAACTTGTTTACAAATGTGTGATCTTTGTAGCCTGTACATGTGAACTAAAGAGCTTTAAACCTTAACACCTAAACAACAAATAGGCTAAATGGTTGTGCTTTTTAACCAAACGACTCCAAACCCTTAAACTCCAGACAGGCCGAAGGCCTATACTTTATCGTAGATACAAGTATAAACACATTACCGACATTTTATTCAATAATTTTGTATGTAACAAATAACGTCTCGTTTTATGTTTCACTCGAAGATTATTTATTTTTCTACTTTTATAAATTAGCATAATTTCGAAAGTAATTTCATAAATTGTAAAGTATTATAAAGTATTTCATAAATTTCATAATTATATAATTTTATAAATTCAAAAAGTCCACACTTTTTTGCAAATGAAAAAACATAGGTTAATAAAATTAGTTTATCAACTTCTTTTTCGTTTTGTAATAAATTTTAATGTTGTCAAACTTAGGAAATTTCATTGTTACAATTTATTCGTAAGCAAAAAGTTTTTTAGATGAATTCTCGAAGTAATGATTATTCTGTCTATAATAAAATATATACGAGTACAGTCAGGAATTCCATAATAATACTATTAGATACAATTTAATGAATTTATCAAAAAATCTAAATTCAATAATAAATATTATTCTCATTGTTATTGTTATTTTTCATTATCATTGCTATTATCAGTATCACTGTTATTATTGCTATTGCAATTATGCTTATTATTAATATTATTATTATTATTATTAATTTTTTTTTTACTTGAAGTTGCGGAATCCTCTTTGCGGATTCCCCTTAGTCTTTCTGACTGAGGGGTCATGTGGGACTCCCCGAAAAAAAATAGGCCTACCCACTAAACCGCCATCTCCTTGGTGTCCTTCCTCCAGCCAGGGACTATGTTGATATTACTTCTGACTGGAGGTTCAGTCTGTGTTTGTCCGTTCGTGTCGTTCCTCCGTATCTCGTTACGTCGCGTTACTTCGTCTGCTCAGTCATCTGTCAGGCAGCCGTCCCCGTTCTTACGTCTCAGTATAGTTTCCGTATCGATAGCGAGTAAGCGCCACCATTCGGGTTCACGCAGCATCAGAGCCACGATGTTATCGGGGGTGATGCTGCCGACCGTTTCTTCCAGTTCCTGTCTGAGTCTTGTCCAGTGGTCACACGCGAAAGACGTGTGTTCCGCATCGTCTCGTTCGTTCCACAGTACTTACAGTCGGGTGTTCGTAGTCTATTCATATTGTAAAGGTACCGTCGGAAGTACCCGTGGCCCGTCAAGAGCTGGGTGACGTAGAAATTTACATCACCAAATTTCCTTCCGAGCCATAACCTCAAGTCCCGTATCAATCGTCTCGTCCAGTTACCACCTCGTTCCTCTGTCCAACGGCCTTGTCAAATGTCAATTGTCCTATCGTGCTCAGCGATTGCCGCGTTCTTTCGTCTTATGTCCGCGCTGCTCCCGTAGATATTTTTGCGTTCAAAGGCCAGAAGATCTACGGGTATTACGCCAGCCACCACCACAACAGCCTGCGCAGAGACTGTTTAGTAGGAGCAAGCGATTCGCAGTGCGCCCTATCTCTGTACCATCATCATCAACTTACAGTATTTCTTTGTCTTCAGGGAGTCTGCCCATATTTCCGCGCCGTATAGAAGGATCGAGTGAGCTGTCGCCATTAACAGTCGTCATTTTCCCGATCTCGGTTCCGACGTATTTGCCATTAGGCGACGCAAGGATGCTATTCTCTCTGCCGCTTTCCGGGTTGTTTTCTGTATATCAAGCCAGAACGTCATCTTCGTATATCGAGGGTTACCCCGCGGTACTTTACTTCCCTCTTGGTCTCCATCTCGCATGTCCCCACCCTCATGTGCGGTATCGTCTATATGCATCTTCTCGTGAGAAACATCAGTTTCGGTTTTTCCGTTGCAAGTTGTAGTCCGTGATCTGTCATCCAACGTTCGACTCGTCTCATGGTCTGGTTCAACGCCAACTGCGCCAGCTCGGGGGATCTCTCCGTAATCTCCGACGCGAGGTCATAAGCGTAGGCGACGAGGGTCACTCCGAGCGGCATCCGTCCGACCACTTGAAAGACGATGTACTGGTGATCGCTGGCTGTGTAGTCTTCGATCACCGGCCATCCCCTCAGCCGTGGCAGGATTCTATCCGATGTCATCGTGACGTCGGGGATAGAGTCTTCGACACCTGGTCGTCTATACGTCGGCATATGTCCTGTATTTACCACTGCTAGATCGAGCCTTGTGGCCATTTTCAGCAGTAGTCGTCCGCGTCGATTCGTTTCGTTCATTCCCCACTCGGTCGCCCTCGCGTTAAAATCCCCCGCAACGATGACATCCCCGGGCAGGTCCCTGATCCCGTCTTCTAGGAGTGCCGCCTTTCTTTCGAACTCCATCGCGGTGCAGTTGGGTGTCAGGTAGACGCTGAGATAAGTGACAGTGCCAACTGTGACCCAGTTGTAGTCGTCCCCGATATCGCGATTGGAGACTCTAGATTGGGTGCCACCCCGTACCCAGATAGCAGTGGTCTCTGTCTCGTTTGTAATGTATGTCTGGGTCGTCTTTCTCCTGTATGGTTCACTCAGAATCAGGATTCCGCGTCATATTCGTCGGCTATCTAAGGTAGGAGCATGTCTGCAGTCCTACTTCGATTCAGGTTTCCCTGAATTATTCTGTCCGTCCTCTAGTCCGTCCCCTGCACTCCTCCAGCGCGGCCCGGAACACGGCACACCTGCCGCCTCCGGCGAGGTGGACGACGTCCCTGTGCTCGGCCTCGGAACACACTGGGCAGACCGGCTTGTTTTGGCATTCTGTCGCGTAGTGTCCGGATATGCCACACTTGCGGCAGCATTTCGTCCTGTCCTTACCTCTGCATTCAGCTTTCACACGGCCGATGCCCAGGCATCTGTAACATTTTGTCATCGTCAGTCGTTTCCGAACGCGGCAATGCACCCAGCCAATTCCGATCCGACCACGCCGAAGCAATGCATCGGCTTCCCGCGATTCTAATTCGCAGACCGCCATATACTGCTCAGCGCG